CCTACACATTTCTCATACTAAGTAAAAGACTCAAGAAAATCACTTTCAGTCTGTGATTGTCAGAGGTGATATTCACATACTTCAGCAGAGACATTGAATGCCCTTCATCTTCCTTATTGAAGTCAATGTCACTATGTGCAGGATATCACCGAATGTAGTTGTAGAGAGTCATTGTACCAACTAATATTTGCACTTGTTTGTTGAACAAATATGTCAGCATATCTCACAGAAAAACCTATTCTTTCTTCAAAACTCCAAATATTATTCCAACAACACTGCGTAAGGATTAGTGTCTCTTGTTAAACATTTTTTCCTACCACGAGCAACATTGCTAGCACTTTCAAAATCAGAAATGTGATATTTAATATCAGGAAATGGTTTAAAAAACCCTCTTTGTAAAGGATATCCAACATCAACCAATTAATATTTCTCTGATATAATTATAATCATTCGTATTGCACTAAAAGTATCATTCATTTATTAATATTCAAGTAAATATGGAGGTGCCTTCGAAAAGTTATATTTCTAAGTTCTCTTTGCAAATTTGAATATGTGACTGTCATGTGCACTATATTCCCATGCGGTCATAATAAAAACAAAGCACATGTTAAAGTCACATACAATCATTACATTTTATTTGGGTGAACCACATCCCTCGATATATGCGATCTTTTCATTATTCGACATGCATGCATCCACAAGTGTTTCATCAATCGCTCAAATACAATCCTAAAACATTTAATAAAGGTATTTGAGTTAATGTGTTCAAGTAAATTCAGAAAAATATGAACGCATGCATTTATCTTAAAATATGACATATAACATTAGTCTTGTGAAATCTCTATGTGGATGCTTTAGAATGTGGGATCCTTGAGTTTGATAATTTATGATGATAAACTGATCAGAGCATTCAACCCAATTAAAAATTATCTACTGATTGTTTCAAATAAGTGTTCAAATTGCATCATGGCTACTCTCATATATTCATTCTGTAATAAAATGTAGTGGGTTATAACTAACACCTCTCTAAAAGTCATCTGGAAGAGTCATCGAGTCCATAATTCCTACGCAGTTCTTCTGACAGATCGATGAATATGAGTTGTGTAATACATAACATATTGTTATTGTTGGGTGCCCTGTAAACAACTCATCAACCTACTTATCGTCTATGTATGTGGATGTCATGCATGGACAACGAGCAATATATAAGTTATAGTACTCATACATTAAGCATAACGCAGCTACAATTCTTCTTCTGCAATTTTCTCTATTCATGTTATTCATTGTTATGCAGCTACCACATAAAAATAACATTGAATTAGCTAGAACAGACATTAAACAAAAAATAATGATGAAGAAATTTCGAAAAGCAATGAACAGGTTGTAGCGTTCGTAAAATGTCCCCATCAAAATCAAAGATAAAATATCTAAGAAATAAAACCTAAGCATACTGAAAGTAGCAGAATAATATTCCCATGAAAATCAAACATAAGGTGTTCAACAAATAAAATGAAATTCATGCATCCCAATTGTCATGGAAATTGCTTAAGTAATTCACCCTATGGTCAAGGGCCATCAACATAAAGAACTTTTTCTTGACCGGTTCTTCAAGCAACTTCATAGAAAATAAGTACAGCAATATGTTCTCATAAATTTCTGGAGTTGCTTCAAAAATTCACATTACTTGCTGAATAGAAATTGCTTGTAATGTACTAGAATCGTTGGGGCATGAAACAACTAACTGTGAAATTTAATTTCTAATAAAAACTATAATTTTTTTCTTTTTTTAAACCTTAGGATGCTTAGATCGACTAGTAGATTCAACTTCATTGAGGTTAGGGTTAGGGCATTCATTGGAACAATCATTTTGCTCGGCATCCACATGCTCGGCTATGCCAACAAACCCTCTCTCGTTAGGGGCCCAAGCATGATCACCCATGACAACAACTCCACCAAACATACGATCCAACTTTTTTTCAAGCTCAAGGCCCATGCTAAATTTTTTGACATTTGGCATGACCGACACATTAATGAATGATTTATATGCTGATGTAATTGCAAAAAAAATTGATAAAGGACTGGACGTTTCATAAATTCTCACATTCAATCTCTCGACCCACCATTCCTCTGAAGTATCGATGGTTCGCTTTATCGGATCACAACCCAATCCCGTGAATCATCGCTTCAACTCTTTTCTTATTTTTCAATTTTTTTTTAACTGATCCCACCAATTTTTCAATTGCAACCAACCATATTTTCTTTTTGTGCTTTCTTTGAACTTTTTTATTATATTTTGTCACTCTTATTTGTTAAAATAGGTGATTAACATATTTTCCAATCCCACTTCCTTAAGGTGAAGATCGCAAAATATTAGTTTCATATCTTTATCTCACATGACAGATGAACCAATTTCTTTTGTCTTAACCATGATGATACTGGCATAAAAAGAATAAAGCAACATAAATGTGTGGCAGAGAAAAAAGAAAGTGTCGTTTAAAATAGCATAACTTAAAAAACTAACTAAAAGAAATTTCTAAAATCTATCAACACGTCACTTATAAACACCACCACCATCACCACAACATCAATACAAACCCAAAATCACCACCAGATCATCAATATCAACCCAAACCCACCACCACATCATCAACACCCATACATCATCACCACAAGTATCACCGCCAACACCACCACTACAATGTCACCAAAAAACCACCACCAACACAACCAGCACAAACATCATCACCAACGCCACCGCCATCGCCACCGCCACCATCCACAAACACAACCAACAAACCACAACACCACCACCACCACCATCATGGCACGAAAAGCCACCACCGAAACAACAACCAACCCCATGTAGCCAAAAAACTACCACCAACATCCACACACACCATCAACAAACTCCCAGCACTACCACCACCATGGCATCAAAAAATCACCACCAACATCAACACCACCACGATATCACAAAAAAACTACTATCATAATCCACACACACCGCCAACACCATCAACATGGCACCAAAAAATCACCACCAAAACCACAACCACCAAAATCACTTCCAACAAACCACTAACACCACCATCACAGCACCAAAAATCCACCACAAAAATCACAACCACCAACATCGCTATCACGCTGCCACCACCATGTCACAAAAAAACTACCACCAATATTCACATAAACCACCAACACCATCACTACCACACCAACAAACCACAACTAACATACTATCACCAAATCCAATAAAAGGGGCAAACCACTAACACGAACCAAACCAACAAATAGAGCAGCAAAACCACATTGCAAGTCCACCCGAATTGAGCCAAAAACAAAATAGAGCATATAGCCCCTACTAAGCAAGCCATATCGGGCAAATAACAAATAAAATTTCTTTCTAGAGGGCGACAAATCGCAAAAAATAGGCTACAGACCCCATTGATCAGAGATCGAAAGGTAAGGGGGAATGTCAAAAATTGCAAAAAGCCTCAAACCGAACCCTTCTAATGAGCAAAGAACAAAGACCACATAGGTAATAGGAAAATGTCAGAAATTAAATAGTTCCTCAAATCAAACCATTCCAACATAAACCGCAGAGCAAAGATCACACGGGTAATGGGAAAAATATCAGAAACTACAAATAAAGCAGAGCCAGAAATAGCAAAGCTCAAGCCACACAGGACAGACCATGAAACACATTACTATAAAATAACAGTAATTGTATTGGGTAGAGGATACCGTAGGAAGATATGGGAGAGTACCACAGGAGCCGGAAATCGGAGAGAAGGGAGGAATGAAGGAAGAAGTTGAGAGTTTATGCCACCAGAACCAACCACCGGAGATAAGGGAGAGAGAAGAGAGATAGGGCACCAGAGAGACAACAGAAGCACAACATAAAAAGGGCATGTGAGAGAAGCACAAGAAAGGGCACCCGTGGTAATGTGTAATGAAGAAAATGTGAAACACGGAATCAAACCTGTGACCTGCTATGTTTTTCCCAAAAACTGTTGCATTGTCATTTCAAAATGCACCTTTTTGCATTCTCCTACCGTGCTGCAACTAAAAGCTACCTCAGATGCACCATAAGTTAATGTTCACTAATGTTCATACCCCACTTTTTCGCTCTTTGTTTCTCTCTTCTGTCCGAAAATCATAGAAGGGAGGAATGAAAGAAGAAGATGAGAATTTATGGCACCAGAACCAACCACCGGAGATAAGGGAGAGAGAAGAGAGATAGGGCACTAGAGAGATGAGAAAAACACAACATAAAAAGGGCATGTGAGAGAAGCACGAGAAGGAAGGGGCACCCATGGTAATGTGTAATGAACAAAATGCGGAGCACAGAATCAAACCTGCGATCCGCGTTTACATATGTTTTTCCCAAAAAGTTGTTGCATTGTCATTTCAAAATGCACATTTTCGCATTCTCCCGCCTTGCTGCAACTAAAAGCTACCCCAAATTCACCATAAGTTAATGTTCACTAATGTTCATACCCCCCTTTTTCTCTTTTTGTTTCTCTCTCCCGTTTTATGCTTTATTCTTTGGGTGTGGCCTACAAGACAAACTTGGATTCAACACTGTGTTAATTGAATAACATTGTTATATAAAGAACACTACTATCTATATAACAATAAATCGAAAAACCGATAAACTAAAAAGAAGGCCTTAGCTATTGACATAATCTTATATAGCAGATATAGGCGAACCAAATAGCCCTAGGTGTTAAAACTTAACTCCTTACGATAGCAAAATATTTTACTAGCAATAATCATTTGGCCAAAAGGCAAAATGGAACAGGTTCAGAAACGCCGGTTGCAGTATGCAGGAGCCATTTCCATCGACTTCATATCATCAACCTAATGTATTCCCACAACTTAGCTTCAATTATGAAAAACGAAAAAAAAAGGAAAACTAAAAACTAAGAACTACAACATTGAACAAAAGGAATATGTGCAACAGGTTTTTGTGCTAAAAATTAGATAAAGAAGGCTACCGGAAGCGGATACGAAGATTCCCTCAGCCGATGCAGAACAAAAAATATAAATCCAAAGTAAGAAGAACGGAATCATGTAAACCATCTTCGATGAGAGCAAATGGCTTCCTACGTTCTCCACCGCTCGCCGGTGGAGCACCTTAGGATTCCCAAGTAGTTGCTTGCCGATCCATAATGCCTTCAATCTCCTATTTCCGATGATCTCGGCATAATAAGTATTACATTAGATTATAACACCCCTCTTATACCCTCCCTATGACCTTAAAATCGCACGCAGGGCTGCCTAGGCAAATTTTTCGGTCTTGTAGGTTTAGAAGTTAGTAGAATTTAATAAATTCTAGAAATTGTTGTTTAATAAATTCAGCAAGCTTAAATCTAAAAATTTATCTGATAACGAATTAAATAGATTTAGTTAAATTATATCAAATAGTTTTGTAAGTTCTATTAACATTTTAAAAGTTATTATATTTATTAGGAAAAAAACTATAATTAAATTTTAATTATTCTATTATGGCGAAATAAATTATTTATTAAACTTAATTAAATCGAATTTAATTTTAATTCTTTATTATATTAGTTAATAATTAAATATTAACTAGACAAGTTAATTATTACATTTTTTTGTTAAGCTACTTATTTTTTAATGAATAAATTATTATTAATTAATTATCTAAATTAAGAATTATTTAAAATTTTATTAAATAATTTAAATTTTAAAAATGTATTTTTTTCGTTACTTAGCTATTAAATAATTACATATAAATTTCTCTAATTAAAATGAACTTGATACTAAATAAATTAATTATTTATTAATTAAATTAACAAATTTAACCTAAATAAAAATAACTTAGAACCACAAACCTATCTCGTTCTTCCCTCTTTGTTGGAGACCCTCACCTACTCCTTCCTATCTCCCAATTTTAACCCAAACTTGCCCTCTCAACCCTAAAACATACTTATAACCCTCCCCCTCACAGTCAATGGCCCAAAACCCTTGCATTCGTGAATGAACCATCGTGATAAAGCGCAATTAGAGCCTGATGGGAAGGTAATGATGGGATCATGACGTATAAAGACCACCGAAACTCCCATCTTTCTCATCCTTTCGCTCCACTACTTCTAGAAATCATTGAGGAAGGTAATCGTATTCACGTTATTCTTCCTCTTCGCTTGTCCCAGATTAAATAAATTCGATTATTCACAAAATTTAGCAAATTTGGGATTTAAGCCTGAAATCTGTGAAATTTAGATTTATCAGAGCGGTGGATTTATTTTGTCCAAATTGGTCATCTCGCAAGATTTAGCCAAAATCTAAGTTAAATCCTGGTCTAAATCCATTGTCAAAGAGTCCCTCCAAGAGAAATTTAAGTGAGTTAAATATTTAGGGCCACAAACAAGTAAATTATAGCTGCTAGAATAGGGAAACCTTGATTTGGTGAAGCGATGGGTAAAATATTCAGGTGATTTTGATAAATATCCTACAAATCTTATCTATTTATAAATTTAATATCTATAATTTAATATTTCGTTGTATAATATTTAAATTTTTAACATCATATTAAAAAAAACACTAATGATATTTTTTTTTAGTAAAACACATCTTTACATAGATATATTTTAAGGTTATTTTGACACTAAAATGTTTTATAAGTAAATATCAAAACTTTGGTATTAAATTTGTGTGTGGTATGTATGTAGATTATGTTATTAAAAATTAAAAAAAATCATAAGAACATTCTAGGGGTTATTTGGTAGCAAGATTTGAATAAGATTTAACCTAAATCTTTTAAGAAGATCATAATTAATAAAACAAACTTACCATCATCTTAAATCTCATTCTAACCCCCTTTGATTAACTAAATATGTGAATAAGACAAATTTAATAAGATTTAGATCACGAGTGAAATGCTAGCAAAAAGGTTGTCCTACTTGCCTATCACACACTTTTTCATGGAAATTATATCAGGTCATCACTCACCACATTCCTTATTTCCTTTCTCTACTTAGTAACCTAAACATATCTAGATCCATGGCAACCTTTAGCATAATTTTGAGCAAACTATTATAATGTTGGGTGGTAATGTTATATTATTTAGACAATTTATGAGCAATCTCTTAGGTGTAGTTTTCGCTGGTATTCTTATTGGCCAATGGTTTAGTCAAGACATTTATTAAGCTTGAGAACCTCTTAATCAAAAGGTTTGTCAGTACCTAGAACCGAGTGAGCATGGGTGGCTTGGTTGTGAACAAGCAGAGATGAATGAGAGTACATAAATAACATTGACTAATCCAGAGTTTAGTCCCTAAATCTGTGGTTAGGTTGAGAGAATACTGACTGCCACTCCAGAGCTCTCACTTCTCCTTCCTCTCATGGCTAATAATCTCGCTTTAGTTTCCAAGCAACTGGACCAAATTGAGGATTTTAATCTGTCGTCTTAAAATTTCTAATTCTACACCCATCAAAATATATTTCCCTATTTATTTGCACGCAACCCCATGGACTACGTTCTCAACCTTGAAATTGAATGTGACTCTTATTTTATTGCAAAAAGCATAACTATTTCAGATCTTATGTTTCTCAATAAATTTTAACATTTCAATTGATCAGATCAAAAAATAAATGAAGATCACAATTTATTGACATTTAAGACCTTACATAACAAATTAATTTTTTATAAAACTACTCAGAATTCATGAGAAGGATACGACAAAACATAGATTTTATATAAAAAATAAGTTTACAAAACAAAGAAAGGAAAGAACACAACTTACGCTCTTAAGTAAATCCCTTGAAGTTCCCTTGAAGCACTTTCTCTCTTTACAATCACACTCAATTCTCTCTTCGAAATGTAAATAAGAAGAAATCTCTCACCTTTCCTCTCCTCTTACAACTCTTGAAAAAAAATCCTCTCTTCTCCCAAGACTTCTCACTCACGCTAACCCCTTCCCTTCATACCTCTTGCCCCCTTTCTTCTCTAAAATCCTATCTCACGCTAGCCTCTTCTCTTCAAACCTCTCACCCCCATTTCTTCTCCAGACTTCTCTCTTTTTTAATTAGGGTCAGCCTTCATTTAAAAAATAATTCAAAATTCCCTCATTTTTTCCCCAAAAGGCATACTTCTTCACACCAAGAGACAAGTCCCTTCATTCAAGAGTCTTTCTAAAATGTTTAGATGCATTGAATCACTCTATGAGGTGTTTGAATTGATTTGAGCCTTCAAAAATTGCTCAAAAATAGTCATTAACTGCCTTACTCTCTCTTAGTTCATCTCTGGCACTTCTGGTGATAGCTCTGCCGCCTTTGGTGCCAATTTATTGAAGTTTGTGTTATTCTCTGGACTCTGGCGCCTTTGGCGCCAATTCTGGTGCTTCTAGCGTCGTTTATCTATAAAATGCCGCCTCTAGGGACAGTTTTTGATGCCTCTGGTGCTAGCTCTCTGGAAAATGGCGCCCCTGACGCCAGGATGATGAAATGCTCCATTTTGACTCCAAATTTCGTCCTTTTTGCTACTTTTTGCTCCAATTGTCTAAAATCGATATACCTACAACAAAACTTAAAAATACCCTTCTTTAAAGTGCAATATCACCAAATTTAAACATAAAATGAATACATAAAATTACATATTATTTTGGTGTATCCATATTATTTTGGTGTATCAAATACATATTATTTTGGTGTATCAAAATCCTCCAAACTTAATGTTATTTGTCCTCAAGTGACTCTTTTACTACCTAAAAATATGACTTATGGTAGAGATTAACTTATAAACTTCTATAATTTGGTTTAATAAATGTAATGATATAACTTAAGAAAAACTTTTAACAACTTAGGGTGAAACTAAAAGCATAAAAACACCTAGTAATTAAGTTTAATATTTCTAAATCTATATTCATTTCAAGAAAAATTGTGATTTATCATATCAAAGATACTTAGAATATCCATATGGAAAATAATTTCATGAAAACTTTATTAGTAAAGGTATTAATACTTAGATACAAGTTTAGAAAATATAATAAATTCTTTTTCTTCAAGTTGATTCAAGTGAAGCCAATTTTTTATTAGACATCTCCTCAAGCTTCTCCTCACATAAAATTTTTAGGTCCCCATATACTGAATGAGTTAGATATGGACATTCGCATTCAAAGACACTTGACTGAAAGCTGACAGCAAGCATTCCTTTAGCAAGGAATCCAAAGCGGATATACCCGGAAAGACGCGATAAACACCCGGAAAGTTCCGCATCTTACCCGGTCAAGTCCTATATACGAAGACCGGGTTCTCCTACTCCAGTAGTGGGAGCAGTCCTTCTGTTCTGTGATGCAAGCAGTAGGAGGAGCAAAGAGAAAATGAATCATACATCAAAGGCGTTAGAGAATGACGGGTTTCCTTATATGATGATCCCTTGGATTCAGTTTCCAAGGGATTCAGCAACATTTCGTGCTTAATTTTTGGACAATTTCTTAAGAGTTGGTGTATGAATCCAAGGGAATCCAAATTATTCACAGATTCCTCAAAAAGAGAAGTGATCATCATATGAGGAAACCTGTGAATAATTTGGGCTTACCACCTCTAACCGCCAACACTATACACAATTTGTACATTGAAACGAAATCTAGAGTTGGTGTATGTCGGCACTATTTTTGGTGTGGGGTTTGCCCGTAAGAAGCTGTCGGTCATCAGAATTGAAATCCCGTTGCCCGCTTTGGAAGGACGTTTTTTAAAAATTTTAGTTTTGAAAAGGATGAAGTCAAACTGACCCCATAATTTTCATAGTTTAGATGAAAGAGCGCTTTACCTCAAATCCTGTATCTATCCCGAAGGATGAACATAAGAATTGAGGGTGAGGCTCGATCAAATAAACTAAAGAAAGTTATGACATCCGT